TAGCAGCCTTCAGCCTTGGGGAAGATATTCCCTATGTATCTAATTATGAGTTAGGAGCCTGGCAACTGCTAACACCTAGACCTGGAAGTTGCTACACTGGATCTTGGCTATAATTTAGAAGCTGTTGGATAATGATACAGCCTCTCAGTGATCTGTCAGCGACTCCAAATTAGGAAAGCAGGGTTTAGTCTCAGATCAGCAGCAAGGTCCCATGTCTCAGCAGGCTGAAGTCCTTCAGTTCACGAGGATCTTTTTTTAATGAGCTCCCTCTGTGCCTTGTAACTCCCAAGTAGAGGCGAGAGGTCTTCCCATGTCGCATGGTGCTTCGACTGCTCTTCCCATCATTATGTGCCTCAGATGGGTGCTGGGGGTCTTGCTTGGCAGAAACCCAGTGATACTCCAGTCATTTGGAGCAGAAAATTGACCCAGGGGAATCAGCATAATGACAGCTCCTCAGGACTGAGGTCAAAAAGTTGATTTCCACCCCAAAAATGGGTGATGGTGGGTAGCCTCCCTCTGCCTGTGCGATGTATGGGAGTTATTTAGGCTTGGTATTTTGTGTAAAGGTATTTCTGTGCAGCTTTTGTTCAGGGACAAGCCACGCTGCGTCATCCCCAAAGCGCTGGGTGGATGCAGTGGGATGCCAGAAACCCATCTGCTCCTGCAAAGCCTGATTCTTCCTTAGACTTTGATTTCAAACAGGACTTCAGGCTTTATTGCTTAAATGACAATTTGTGGATTGTGATATTAAAAAGTTGATTGTTTTTGCCTGGCTGCCGGCACGAGGCTCTTTCCTATGGAGAGAGCTGGGGCTGAGAGTGGGATGCAGTGCTGGGGATGCTGTGCTCCTGCCCCATGTCCATGCTCCTGCCCCACACACATGCTTCTGCTTTGCAACTTTTTCTTCCCAAATTTTGCATTGTGGCTGGTGGAATAGGCTTAGGCAGGAGAGGAATGGGGGGCCCAATGAATGAGACCAGGTTCCAACAGCAATCTTCAAACATTTGCTTAGCAAAGATTTTATATTTCATTACACCCAAGTTCCATTGATTTTTTGCCAAAATTTGAGCAGTTCTCTGGGGTGTTTATTTGTCTTCCCAAATGAGCAGGATGTTACCAGGCAGTTTCACCAAATGAAGGCACTCAAGAGCTTTCCAATGTACCAAGGCTGCTATGAGGGAGATTACAAGAGTACGGAGGGGGAGAGCAGGACTGTGGGGGCACAACCCCTTTAATCTGTCTCAAGCTGTGGTTTGTGACTGCACTGAAAGACTTTTGTTTCAGGAAAGGCCCTTTTGGCCAAAATTCATGGTGTTACTCCTGTCAGATGCTCAGGTTTGATACAACACTTCTCTTGAGCCAGGTTGTACTGCTGGGGGCACAGGGCAGCCCAGTCAAATCCTTGTTGTGCTGATGCATCAGCTGTGTCCAGTGGAGGGAGACAAGTGCTTCCTGCACATATATTTGGTGGGACACCCTCTGATTCTTCTTACAACTTGAAATGAGAAGCAGGACATGGTTTTCCATGCCTTTGTCACTTGGCAGAATCACAGAATAGTTAGGGCTGGCAGGGACCTTTAAAGGGCATCTAGTCCAACTCCCCTGCAGTTGAGACATCTCAATGACATCAAGTTGCTCAGAGCTCTGTCCAACCTGACCATGAATGTTTCCAGAGATGAGGCATCTACCACCTCCCTAGGCAACCTGTTCCAGTGTTTTATCACCCTTATTGAGAAAAATATTTCATCCTTATATCAAATCTAAATGTTTTTTTCATTTAAAACCATTCCCTAATGTCCATCTCAGTGTTTCTTACAGACTTACGGTGGCCTTGGGGGTGTCCATCGCTCAATGGGGGAAGAGGAGGCAGAAAAATTACGCAGATCTCTGGGGATGGATGAGCAAAGCTCAGATTTCCTTCTCTTAGTCACCACCTTTCTCTCTCAAAGGGACAAGCCCCTGTTTTGACTCCCCCTCCCTCTGTTCAGTGAGGGTTTTACAGCAGCGAGTGCAGAACAGGCAGTTAGCTGCAAACTTTGGTCTCTGCGTGATCCATTACAGAGCAAGGTGTGAGTGTTTCTTGATGAGCTAAAGCAGCAGGTAAATTAATACCCAGACCTGGAGCCGTGCCCCTTCCTGCTGAGACCATCTTGGGTACAAACAGAAGGGTTTCTTGCAGTCGTGAGCACCCAGCGGGGCGAGGATCCTACCAAATGGCTTTTAAAGAGATCTGAGAGCAGGTAACAAACACACAGGTTTTTAAAGTGTCTTCTTAATGCAAGCATCCTTAGGAGCTGTTATAAAGAAAGCATACATCTATTTAGTCATCTCAAACTTTATTCATGCTTTTATTCAAATCATCTAAACTTTAACAGCGGGGGGAAAACTGGGAAAGGCCTTTTTCCTGGCGCGGTCGCTGTTTGCAGAGTTGGGTTTGCGTGTTTGCAAGCAGCTCTTACTCTTCAGCTGAAACTTGTTCCAGAAAAGACAACTGTCTTGGGGGAAGGGAGCCTGGGCTCAACACAGGATTTAGCAGCCTTGGTTTGCTGGTCCCAGAGCCGATACAGCTCCTGCTTCACATCTTTTCCACATTCCCTTTCCAAAGCACAGTGGAAATATCAAATCTCACCGCGGCTCTGTGCGTCGCATTGGCTGTCGTTTATGGTGGGGAAAACAGAGGCTACACAATATTGCCTGAGGTTGCAGATGATGGTGGCTGAGTTAGGATTAGATTTTGGGGCTGTTTTCCAGTGGAATTGTTCATTAAACCTTCCAGCTTGCTGGGAGATGGAATTGGGGAGGGAGAGAAAATTTCTGTCTTGATCAAAAGTGATATTCAGTTTGGGATGATAGAAATGATATTACAAAGTGTATTTCCAGGAGTGGAGAAGATGATAAGTGAGGATTAGGTGTCAGGTACCAGCTGGAAGCCATGTGACTTATTACAATGAGGGTGGTGAAACTCTAGCCCAGGTTGTCCACAAAGGTGGTGGCTCTAGAAGTATTCAAGGTCAGGTTGGATGGGGCTTTGAGCAACCTGGTCTAATTAAAGATGTCCCTGCTTATTGCAGGGATATCAGACTAGATGACCTTTAAAAATCCTTTCCAACCCAAACCATTCTATGATTCTATGCGCTTAAGATATTTATTATTTCCTTTATAAATAAAAAGATATTGCCCTCCACCCCCACACACAAGAGAAAGCTCTTTTACCTTCCTGCTGATTTAACCAGTATTTAGCAAAAATGCTTAATCTGCCCTAAAGAAGCACAGTGTAAGTATCAAGAGAACAAATATCAAGGCTTTAACAAGGAGTGTCAATATTGACATTGTTCTGTGTTGAGGGATATTGGTAGGTTGTTTTCATTATTGTAAGCAACTTGTCAGAGGAAAACTCTGATGGAGCTTTGCAAGAGCTGATAAAACCTGCAGGTGCTATTGAAATTGAGCTCTTGTTCGTGTGTGCTTTGAATATAATTTCCAGTTTCAGAAGTCAGCTTTATGACATTCTCATACCCTTATTCCCTTGCAGTCTCTCCCACGATGCAGATCAAGCAGTCCTCCTAAAAAGTGTTATTGAAGGATTGAACACCTCAGCAGCTTGCAAAGAGATCTTCCTAGTGTGATGAGTTTGCTCTGTGCCATGAAAATTACCCAGTGCTGAGTCCAGGTGTTGGGATTGGGAGCAGGTTAGACCCACCACCCCTAGTTTATTCAGAACTGTGGTTTTCTAACTAGAAATTTAGCTCTAGGCTTCACAGAGGTCTGGCTATTTTGGGAGCACAGCACTTTTGTTTCACCATCCTGCGGGACCTATTTGTGTTTTCTACCCAGCTGTCAACACATTTTATTGAGATACCTACATTTTCCATGATTGCAATCCATCAAAATAATGGCCAGGCCTGACCTTACCTTAGGTTGGGTAATCCCAAGGAGAGATGGCTGCAGGGCATTTCAGGATTTACAGAACCATCATGATACAGGGCTCATGGTATCTTTTGTGTTTGTATGCTTACAAGACCTGTCTTTGTTTCATTCTTCATTTTCTTTTAAACTAATCCTCAAAATGCCACAAAGCAGAGTATTTCCAGGTGAAGAGAGGATTTCTAAGGTTTAGGACAGAACAAGACACCTGCAAATATCAGTGTTCCCTTATTTGACTGGTTTTAATGGATGCGTCTGCAATTGAATTTCAGTTCTGCCACATGGTGGCTATGGGGGAATTGTTTCCCTGAGGGCAGTAGGAGCTCCACAGTCCTTTGGTACAAGGCTTTAAAGGAGGGAAGACCCACTGGCTATGGACTCATTGGCTTTGTTTGTGGTGGCCAAGCATCCATTTGGGGTGGCCAGTGTTGTTTGGGGAACAGAATTTTCTGTTGCTGAAGGTCTTGCTTGGGTGGAGAGGCACTGTGAGCTGTGTCAAATGCAGTTAAAACCATGACATTTATCATGTGGAGTCTTACCCAAGTAAGCCTGAACCAGGATCTAAGTGAGGAATGGCCACTGGTCTGGCCCCGCTCTGCAGGATGAATATTATCTGTTCTCAGTGACATCCGTGGAAGAAACTGGGTATTTTTAGGTGGTGTTTCCCAAAGTAGTGGTGCAGAGAGAGAGAGTAACTCCACTGCCTGACACCCCAGCAAGCATTGAGCAGCACCCTGGCAGGCTGTCTTTGCTAAACAAGGTTTCTGGTTAAACATTCCTGGGCATGCATTGCCTCGTGCATCCCCTGTTTTAGGGTCCTAAGGTTGAGGCATTTTCCAGAGGAGATCTGGGAAGGTCTGAGCTTGGCTCTTGACTTTGCCATGAGCTTAGGCAAACCTGACCTCTCCATCTCCCACCTCACCCCAGAGGAGAAGAATAATCTCTGTGCTGTGCTGAAGCTCTCACTGCTGAGCTGCTCAGCTCCTAGGGAATCAAGCTCATGCATCACCTAAAACAGAGCCATAAATTCCCTATTTCCGATTTTACCTGAATGTTCCTGGGGCTTGATTTTTCAGGGCCAGGCCACGGGGAGGCTGAGACAAGGGAGTGCATCTACTACAATGCCAACTGGGAGCTGGAGAAGACCAACCAGAGCGGCGTGGAGCGCTGCGAGGGGGAGAAGGACAAACGGCTGCACTGCTACGCCTCCTGGAGAAACAACTCGGGCTCCATTGAGCTGGTGAAGAAAGGCTGCTGGTTGGATGACTTCAACTGCTATGACAGGTAATAGCCCAGCTGGTTTATCCAAATACAGGTTTAATCGACCCTCTAAGTGTAAAAGCTGGTGATTTTTTTGCATAGAGGGAAAGAAGGCAAGTCCAAGTTAATTGGCAAAAGCAGCTCTCGGAATTGTCACTTACCTGCTTTGACTTTCTAAATAGAAGCTGCAAAAATCACTTCTAGGGGTTTTGTGTTGTGTTTTGTTTTGTTTGTTTTTTCCCTAGCAAAGCTTTGATAATTCTGGCATTCTTTGAAAAACCTGTCCTGTACCATCAAATGAAGAGCAATATGTTCTTCCAGGAGCATTTGGTGATAGAAGTGAAAACTTGGAATCATTTGGAGCTGTCTAGAAAAGCACAGATATCTGGGGGTGGTTAGAGGTTGAGATATTCTGACGTTTGTGATGTTGCAAGAAGTTCCACTGTTCTTTGGCTGAGTGAAGAGGAGGGCCAGGAGAAAGAGTGGAGAGCAAAAGCAATGTGAGTTTGTGTGTCACTGCTTGTAGCAAGCTGAAAAGGAGTGAGGTTTTGTAGTGTGAAGGCTCCAGCCTCATTAAATAGCTGGGAAAATTAACTAGTCTTTTCTCACTTCCCTTGATGCAATTCTACAAAGGGGAAAGAATTGCAGCTAAAGAAAACAGCCCTATGAAATTTTGTGGTTGAAAAGGACAATATTGAGTAGCTCTGAGCTCAGGGTTTTTGTTAAAAAAACCCCAAACCAAGGACCAACCAACCAAGCCAAGCCCAGCCCTTTCAATAAAGATTAGCAACATAGAATTGAAGGATTTCCTTTGATATAACACTGATGTGGGTCGATCTCACCCTTGTGCAATTCTCAGTTGTGCCTCTTTGTAGTGTCTCCTTCTGAAAGTTTTGGGAAGATGAGGTGCTAAGCTGTGGGGTTAAGCTGGAGCTAGATTTGTGCCATGGCTGCAGTGTTTTCTCCCTTTGGTGCTGTACACTTCCCCTGCTTTTGTGCCTGCTGTCTTGGCTTATCTCGACTGTAAGTTGTTCCTCATCTTTGCTCTATTATTAGCTCCAGAGTTACTTTCCTACCACACCTATTCCCTTGCCAATTGAGTAGCCAGGCTCTATATATAGTTAAATTTTTATTCTTTCCCAATAAATCAATCCTCCTTGGCCCATTAGTCATCTTAGTGCCGATTCTTCAGAGAATAGAAGGTCACTGTAGTTTCCTACTTGCAAGCAGAAGTGTTTACTGTAAACAGATTTCTCCTTTCAGTGCCTGCTCTCATATCCAGTGACACTTGTATTGTCACTGAGTGTCTCTGCAGGGATGTAGTGTTTCTTAAACTCTGTCATAATGTGTTGCTCTGTTACAATGGTAAAAAGTTTCCAGGGCTCCTCACCAGCCTTTTGCAGCCCTAGAATTGAGCATCCAATATTCCATTGCCTGACTTTTCAAAGCCACAAGTTCCAGGGCAAAGCTAAAAGCCCTTCTGAGAATTAAAAAACAGTACAAATATCAAAAGCAACATTTGGAATAAAGGTTAGCTTTAATTATATAAAGGAATAAACCCTCTTTAAATGCAGTCCTTTTCATTTTTTTTCTCTTCCCTTGAGTGCCCTTGGCAGACTTCCATGCAGGCAGTTTTGCATCCCAAGGTGGCAAAAGTGGCTAAGAAGATGATTTTTCGATCAGTGGTGCTGTGCTGATGCCCTTTGTGTCTCTGGCACTTTTGGATGCTGAGTTTCTGGAAGCATCCTTGGCAGATGCACCTGTATTCTGTGTCCCTGGATGCAGGGCATGGCCCTATTCTGGTTGCTGCAGAAGGGATGTGCCAAGTGCTGCCTCCTTTGTCACCAGAATGTGGAAAAATTTTGGAGTGCAAGGGTGGGACGTTGAGGGTGACAGCTCCTTACTCTGCTCTTTATCTTGAGGAAACAAGAACGTGGCACATGTACATTTAAGGTTATAGGAAAAAGGTAGTGTTTAAAAATCGACTTGTGTGCTCTCATTTATTTACACAGCCCTGCTGGAGAGGTCATGTTCACATTCCCCTGCAGAGCACGTGAACCTCTCTGAAACGTGCCCTCCCTGCCACAGAAAAATGTGTCCTTCTCTCCCTCTGCCTCAGCTGTAAGATTTGCTAAGTGTAACATGTCATACATACCTGGATGGCTTCACTCAGAGACAGGGATAATGAACTGCAGATGTGGAGCAGGCTGTTTTCACTCATTAGCTTGATTTTTTAACCAACAGATTTAGCAAAGGATGTGTTTTCTATTGAAGGCTCCAACACTGATGCTGTTAAATCCAAAGGGCTTGTTATCTGATTTCACAAAAAAGCATCTGGAAATGCTGTTTAACTTGTTGAAACATCTTTGTTCATTTGAATAAGTCAAATGGCTGCTTTTTTGCTTTGAAGTTGAAAAAAATGAGAGCCTGAAAAACAAACCAAGTGCTTCCCAGCTGAGACCTTGGAGGAGACAGTTTGGCTATAGCCATTTTTTTCCCCCCAAAGGGAGTAAAGCACTGAAAACTACCCAGGGCTGGGATTGAAGAGAGCCCTTTCCATTCTTCTCGTGGCAGTATGTCAGTGATAACACAGAAAGGGAGGCTTGGCATGGGTTCAGAAATGAGTAATAATGTCAAATGCTTATGATTGTTTTGCTACTTCCTCCAAGTGGTCGAGGGAAGGAAGTTATGCATATAATTTAGCTGGGCTTCAGGAAATAGTTTGATACAGTTCTCTGCGGAGAGCAGCTCTGCAAGCATAATAACTAAAACCAGAGCATAGCACAGCAAAAGGTGGCAGGGAAGGGAAGCAGCATTTAAGAAACAGAAAGAAATGACAGGTAAAGTACTGCAAAAATCACTGCACATCTCTTTTGGCATTGATCTGTGGGGAGAGGGAGGATGTGTGGAAGTGGAGTAGGTTTGATCCATGGAAGTCCCCTAAGGCCTTGCACAACATGGAAGGAAATCTCAGTGCTGGGAAGGCTGTAGCAGTACCTGAATAAGAGGCAAAGGCAGAAAATGAGAGCTGCAACCTCATTTTCTTAAAGGTTTTTATGTAGAAATAAGCTTTTTATGAAGGAGACAGCACTTGAAAATTAAACTTAAAAACGATAGAAATGAAATGAGAATCATAGGAGCCTCAAATGGTTAGGGTTGGAAGGGACTTTTAAAGATCATCTAGTTCCAGCTCCCTGCCATAGGAAGGGATACATTCCACAGGCCCAAGGATGATCCAAGTCCCATCCAACCTAACCTTGTAACACTTCCAGGGATAAGGCATCTACAGCTTCTCTGGACAACCTGTTCCAGTGCCTCACTACCCTCACAGTCAAGAATTTGTACCTAATATCCAACCTAAACCTGCCCTCTTTCAGTCAAAACCATTACCTTGAGCTATCACTGCATGCCCTCAGACCTGCAGCTCTCTCCTGCTGCAGCAGGGCTGTGGCTGCTGCTTCTGGTGCCCTTCGAGTGTGCAGAGCTGGTGATGCTTAAAGGCTGTGGGAGCAGCCTTAGCTCAGCCCTCGTCATGTGTGCTTTATGGCACAATCTTTAATTGCATCATCAAATACTTCTCTGCCCTGGCAGTGTTCATATGGGCTATGGGAAAGTCACTGCTCAGGGACTGAGGCGTCTCTCTGTCGTTTTTCTCCTTCTCATTCTCTTAGCAGCAGCGGCTGTTATTTATTACTCACCATCTAATGCCCTCAGTACATATGGAAGCATTTGTTTCCTTTGCAGTCTTTTCAAGGGTCTTTGCTATCCACTGGGGTGTTTGAGTGCCAAGTTGTTCTCCATAAGTGGAGACTGCTGGTCTGTGCAGTGCAGCTGCAGGAGAAGGTGTGTGGAGAGGACAATTTGGGGCAGGTTGGCTCCCAAAGGCAAGAGGCAGGAGTTGGCTGACAATGTTTTTCTCTCCCCTTCCTTCCATGTCTGTCTGTCCCTGGTGCAGGCAGGAGTGTGTAGCCACAGAAGAAAACCCTCAGGTGTTTTTCTGCTGCTGCGAGGGCAACTACTGCAATGAGAAATTTACCCACTTGCCTGAAGTCACCGGCCCAGAAGGTGAGTGCCTGGGAGGATGGGGAGTTGGGGGCTCTTCTTCTTGACCATTTTCCAAGGACTTTAATAGAAACATTGAAAGTTCTGAGTTGGTAGGGACTCACAAGGATCATCAAGTCCAACTCCTGGCCCTGCATAGGAGACCCCCAAGATCCACACTCTGTGCCTGGGAGCATTGTCCAAAAGCTCCTTGGAACTCGGAGCTTGGTGCTGTCACCACTTCCATGGGGAGCCTGTTCCAGTGCCCAACCCAACCTGTACCCTGTGTGTGAAGAACCTTTTCCTAATATTTGCCCTAAACCTCCCCTGATTCATCTTCAAATCAACATTGAGTTGTTGGATGTTTTGGTTATGAAGTCAGAAATCCTTTTGCTACAGCTCTTTAAGAATTGGTTGTTTCACTCTATGGCTAAGGCTGTACCAACACTGGATACCATCAGTAAGGTTAGGTTTCCTTTATGGTGGACAGTTCACTGTGGGATGTTACAAAACAAAATCCCACAGGGGAGGAGGGCAGAGTGATTTATATAGCATGGATTGAGCCTCAAACTCTTAGAAGGTGTTTGATGCCTTCCTCATTAAATTCATAGGTCATGAGTTTCCAGATACCTTGAGCATCTGGGATTTTTGCATTTGATTCTGTTTTGTTGGTCTGGGGATTGAAAGGGAAAGGGTGTGTGTCAGCTTTCAGAGTCTGTGGATATGAATCAAGGAAGAAAAGTAATAGCAGGACCTTCTTCAGAGGCTAATAGGAAAACAACGATTCTTTTAGAGGTATAATTTTTAAAGTATCATTCAATAAAAACTATTAAAACAGGTGAATCTTTTCCTTAGGTTGGTTTGAGCTATCTGCATTTACTGAGATGTTCCAATAGACCTTTATCAGATTTTCCTGAGCTGTCCTGATAGTTTTTTAATTGTTTACATGGGTTATATTATCTCTTGTTATTAATGTACCCGTAGCAACCTAGTAGCAAATATTCTTTCTCTCACAGTTTTTTGTTTAATTTGGCAAGTCTTGCTATTTTTTCCTTCCCTGTCTCCAACATAGCAACATGGCTCCATTTACTATTCCCATTGTTTGTGTCTCAACTACACTGATGTAATTTGGAACAAGAGCTACTGTGGGAATAGTGCATTTGATTGTGGCTCCGGCAGCATTTTACTAAAAACTGACAACTTGTCAATCACTGTGAAAGGTAAAGCAATGCTGCAAGGGATTTCGTGCTGTCTTAATACATTTGGAAGGGTTAAGAGGAGGAAATGTTCTGCTTTTATGTATCTCAACAAGAAATACCTAGCTTAAATAAAGGTCAGATGGAGGCTCAGCTTGCAAAGTGTGGTTTGGGCCATTGTAACTCCATTAGTAACATTACTTCTATGGAGAAGTGAAAATCATGGAGCCTTATGAATGCTGTTGTTTTACATACAAGAACTGTGAACATGGAGTTTAATCTGGTGGCATTTTTATGTCTTTTTGTTTTGTTTGCCCTCAGCAATGTGCCCATTGATCAGCCAAAAACCAGCGTTTTGATAACCTTAGCCAATGCATCAGGCTTAGATACCATTTGTTTAACTCATTCAAGCCCTGAAAAGTTTCAACTTCCTTGGTCAGTTTGCCAGTAGACACTTGGCCAATACTGAAAACCATTCCTCCACATCTTTCACAATTCATTATAAATACCTCTGATGGATGGGGTCTTTGGACCAAATTCCTTCCTGAAGCATCCTTTGAACCCCAAGAGTTGGAAATTCTTGGTTCTGTAAAAATAGATTTTTGCATAAAATTTGGCATTTTTGGGCTTGAACAAAGACAAAACTTCAGTTGTCACTCCCTATCACCTTGTGTATAAAGATGTAGATTCTTGGTGTAATTGTACCCCAGTTATGACTAAAAACAGTTATGTTTTTAGTCATACCCCTTTACATCTACCATGTGGAATGTGTTTCATCTGTGGAGATAGATCTTGGCCAGCCATCCCATCCAACACCAAAGGTGGTCCACGTAGCATTGCAAGGCTTACTTTGCTGACACCCAGTGTAAATATGACTAAAAACCATAAACACAGAGGAGAAAAGGTTTGCCTATCAGTATGAATCATACTGTAAAGATGATTTTGACCCTTGTGGCCCAATGTAGCATTGCAAGGCTTACTTTGCTGACACCCAGTGTAAATATGACTAAAGACCATAAACACAGAGGAGAAAAGGTTTGCCCATCAGTATGAATCATACTGTAAAGATGATTTTGACCCTTGTGGCTATCATCATGGGACATGCCACCCAGCTTTGCATTGGAGGGACAGACGGGGTTTGGTCACCTCTGGATGTGCAGCTGGCAGCGCTGCTGCATTCCTGAAGCTCCTTTTCCCTCTCTTACCCTGCTCTTTCCTCACAGTCATATATGAGCCGCCGCCTCCGACGCCGTCGCTGCTGAACATCCTGGTGTACTCGCTGCTGCCCATCGCCGTGCTGTCCATGGCCATCCTGCTGGCCTTCTGGATGTACCGGCACCGCAAGCCTCCCTACGGCCACGTGGACATCATTGAGGTCAGGGACTCGCTCCCCTTGGTTTGGGACTTGCAAAACCCTTTTCAGGTGGCCTAACTTTTCTTCTTCTCAGAGTCTCTGCTGATCAGAGCGATCCTGAGATGCGTTAGAAAGTCTCTTTTCCCAGCCTGGCAGTCGAAGGAGTCAGAGCTCTTCAGTTCTCAGACTCAAGGTTGTTTATTGTTTCTTATCTATAAAATTCTTTCTCTGACCAGCTGAGGTCTGTCTGGCAGGTCAGGTTGAGGCACACTGACTGCCTCAGAGGTGATGTTATCTTTTTATACTAAAAACTACGCGTACGCTATTTACAATAACTTCCCAATACCTATCACCTATGTTACACAGTAAGTTTCTACTCTGTAGGTGGATAGAATATAAGTAAATAAAGGTAGTATAGAAAGTAATCTTACCCCCTAAAGAGTTGCAGCTGGGTTAATTAGCAAAGATTAGGAGCAGGCCTGATTTTAACAGGCCACAGCTGTAGCCAATAAGAAGAGTGTTATAAAAGAGTGGATTGATTGGCTGAGGGAAACTGGGATCAGTTGGCTGCTGTGAGAACAAAGAAGAGTCAGTGCCTAGAGGAGCTGCCTACAAGAAACATCAAGGAGGTACAAAACTCTGGCAAAATGGAACCTTTGCAATGTAATGACAACACTACTCTAAACCAATCTAAAAATGACAATGTCACCCAGAAGATAGAGGCTAGGAAGAAGAAGGAAAAAGGACAAGGCATGACCAAATTCCTCCACCTTGGGACCCTGAGCCCTCATTCTAAAAAACTCAAAAATCTATTTTTCACCCTGTGATAAATTCACTATCATTCTACTTAAACTTTCTTGACTTGTAGTTCTTCATATAAAGGTTGGTAATCGTTTTTTCCAAGGGCTAAATCAAAGGCACAGGGGCCTTGGGCTCTGTGCCAAGGTCTCTGGCTGCCCTGGAAGACTCACAGCCCCAGGCAGGGAGGGCTTCCAGGGCAGCCAGAGGAATTTCCTGGGTTCCAACACTTCTCTGCTTTTTGAAGCTGGTAGCACAGTTGGCCTCCATGGAAGTGTCAGACTGATGGGTTTAGGTGGGGTTGCCACCATGTCTGAGATAGCTGAGGGAGGGAATTAAGACAGCCCTGCTTGGTGGCTGCCCTTCCTCCCAAACTCTCATACCCATTGCCTGATTTCAGCCAGCTTTGTAGAGCATCAGAGATCTAAGACAAGATGAAGTTCCTGTCAGCTCTATGAGAGGAGGGAAGATGCTTTTCCTGATGAAGCTCAGGTTTTATGAACCCTCAGAGAATGGCGCAGGAGGCTTGGGGGTGACCTAATTGCAGCCTTCCGTACCTGAAGGGAGGCCACAAGAAGGACAGAGGGGGACTTTTTACAAGAGCATGTGATGACAGGGCCAGTGGGAATGGGTTCAAATTGAAAAAGAGATTTAGATTAGATATTAGGAAAAAATTCTTCCCGGTGAAGATGGTGAGGCCCTGGCACGGGGTGCCTAGAGAAGCTGTGGCTGCCCCATCCCTGGCAGTGTTCAAGGCTGGATTGGATGGGGCTCTGAACAACCTGGCCTAGTGAAAGGTGTCCCTGCCCCTAGCAGAGGGGTTAGAACTGGGTGATCTTTAAGGTTCCCTTCCAACAAAAACCATTCTATGATATTGTGAACCTTTCCCATCTGAGAGCAGGTAGGACAGAGCTCCAACCCCACAGGTCCTACAGGGTCACATTGTTCTCCTGGACAAATGCAGAGTTTAAGCAGATGTGATTGTGTGATGCTGACAGACCTGTTCACTGCCCATGGCTGGGGTGGCATGGAACATGCTAATGGAGGGAAGAGCAGTGGCAGGTTTTAGATGTAGTTGGCTCTCTGGTCACAAAGATCTCAAGGTTCCCACTTCCAGCAGCAGGTAGCCTTGAGGACATCAGTGCTTTACACCCAAAATAACTTTTGCCTTGAAAACACAGGAGAATTCAGGTTTTGCCCAGAGCATGGCAGGCAGTAGTGTCACAAAGTGATACTTGGAGGTGTAGATTGTTTTATGTGTTCTGTACCAAAACCCTACAGAGCAAGCAAGACAGGGAATTTCAGGCTGTTCTTCCTGCAAACAGAGCACCTAAATAATTTGTATTAAATAAATGTTATTTCTTCACACTTTCCTCACGTGCAGTATCTTGATTCCTCCCCTCCTTTTATTTTACAGCCCAGCTTCAGCTGGTGACAGTGCTTTTTTCTCTTGTGCAGGATCCTGGCCCACCACCCCCTTCTCCCCTGGTTGGCCTAAAGCCCCTGCAGCTCTTGGAGATCAAGGCAAGGGGACGCTTTGGCTGCGTGTGGAAGGCTCAGCTGATGAACGACTATGTAGCAGTGAAAATCTTCCCTATTCAGGTGAGAGGGACACTGCATTAGGCTCTTACTTGCCAGGGGCTTCCCCACCAGTGCTGAGATGCTCTAAGTGCCTGGAGAGATTATGGTTTTTGAGACCATATCGAAGATGCATTTGGGCTCTTCTGCTGGGGGAAAAAGTTCAAGGACCCTTCCTTCCTACACTTCTCCCTGTGTTATCTCATTACCAAATGCTTCCTGTAGTAGTACTTGCTGCAAGAAGGGCAAAAACAAGCACATTCTGAAATCTACAGGCTCTGTTAACTTCCCTGCAAATGCCTGTGTTGTTTAAATCCAGCAGGGCAGGGTGCAGCTGCAGTGCCCAGAGTGCACACAAAGGGCCAGAGCCCTGGCTTTGTGTGTCCTGCCTGGGTGGGTTGTAAATCTGGATTCAAGCTAGTGAGCAGTTTACAGCCTCCAAAGGCAGAGCCCTGGTGCTGTGAGAGCTAATTGTGCTGCAGTGTTTCTGTCAGCTCCTGTCTTCTGCTCTAGGAAACCTTTGAACGCTCCTGACTTGATTCTCTAGGAATTGCAGATGAAAAGAGTAAAGCAATCAAAAGTCAAGTGAAACGAGAATTACAAAAACATCTTTGTGCTCCTCTGCTGTCTCCTTCATTACTTTTTCACCTCATATTTGTTGTCAAAGGAGATCTGCACATCTTCTGTCCAAGCCAGCTGTGACCTACTAGTAAATATTCAATAGAGCCTAGATTAGATTTTGCAATTGCAGCAATTACACTGCAAGGCTGATCCTGGGTGCTGTTTGCTCAGGCTTTCTTCTTGCAAGTATCCTTAGGAAATCTTGAAAAATATTATTTCTCAGTAAGGTTGAGTTTGGCTTCCTCTCCGCTCCCCACACATGTCCTTTAGGAACAGCTGAGGATAATTTTGGAGAGGGGAGACTGAGGACAGCAACTTGTCGTTCTTCTTTAGGGAAAACAGCCTTTTTTTGAAGGGATGCATCACATCCCAACACAGGAGCATGATTTTTAGAGTAGTGTGAGCAGCTCTGACTGCACTGAAGGAGCTGTTTGCTTTAAAGGGAAGTGTGATCTTTGATGGTGCCTTTCTCCCTGCTTCAGGATAAGCAATCTTGGCAGAGTGAGAGGGAGATTTTCAACACTCCTGGCATGAAGCATGAAAACCTTTTGCAATTTATCGCAGCAGAGAAAAGGGGGACAAACCTGGAGACAGAGCTCTGGCTGATCACAGCTTTCCATGACAAGGTAATGTATCATTGCATGTACATTTTGGGAAGGCAGAGAGGGAGGTGGTTGTGGTACAGCAGGATCATAATCCCTGTAATTCCCCCAGTGTGTTCCTGGTGGGCCATGATTCTGTGGTAGCAAAGTGTTCCTGCTCTCCTGCTTCAAATGCCCTTCCTTTAGTTTCAAGGCTTTCCTACACAAATAAAGGATTAATAAAAGTGGGATTTAGGAAGGGAGAGAGGCACAAAAGGCCACAGCTCACATCTGTAGTGGTCACCATCTCTTATTGTGCATAGATGAGCATCAAGGGAGATGGATTTCACAGATCCAGCTTGCCCCTTGCAGATGGGCTCCATGTTTGCTTTTGAGGCTTGGGGCACATCTCCCCCTTCATGGATTGCTTTAGTTATAAACCATGGCTAACACTTAAAACAAACGTGCAAACCTGGGGTTGAGCCAGCAGTGTTATCCCCCGTAAATCCAAGGTCTTCTTGAGTCAATCATTGCCACAACCAGCTGATACAATTCTTCATCTTGCATGGAGGGCTTTCCCCTTGCTGAGATTGGATGAATTGCTGTGGTTAAAGATGATTTTTTTCCCTTCCTTACCTCCCTCCCTTTCCCTGGCAGATGAGTAGACATCAGGAGGTCTGTGCTGTCAAGGGCTGAAAACTCATGGACAACTCTGATTTTCATTTTTTCTTTTTCCTTTCATTAGTGATTCCTCTCCCTCCCCCCATTAAATCAAGGCTCAGATTTTTCAAGCACTCTCTAAACCATTCTCTAAACTGATGAGTTGGCACATCTGTCACATAGAGGGGTCTGTGATTAAGAACTGACAATGTCCTGTTCTGCAGGGTTCTCTGACAGATTACCTGAAGGGCAACATTATCAGCTGGAATGAGCTCTGCCATGTTGCAGAAACAATGGCCCGTGGCTTGTCCTACCTTCATGAAGATGTCCCCTGGTGCAAAGGTGAAGGACACAAACCTGCCATAGCACACAGGTAAAGCCTCTTCTGTTGACACTGTCTTTGAAATGATGCTGTTGAATGGAGGAGGAAGTTCTGCTTTTAGGAAGTAAAGGCTTTTTAACCCAGCAAATCCTGTGCTAAGACAAGAATTTTTTTCACATATAAAATGCTGAGGGGCAAATAAGTGTCTTGCCTGTGGAATAGCACAGTTGGCAATGGTTGATGTGAATGTCCAAAGAGTAGGGGTTTCCCTCTTCCATCAACTCTTCCCTTCTGGTGGAAAGGGAATTCTGCTGCTGCAGAACCACTCTTTGAAAGGACTTGGCTTGGTAAAGTCATTGCATTATGATCTGTGTATTTCTATGGCTGTGTCGCAGGCATCTTTTATGAAAAATCCTTTCCTTAGGATTTTCCCTCCTGAGAAGCCTCAGGAACAAAATGTAAACATTGATTATCTGCTGCTGTGGAATGTAACAGGTGGATCTGTGATTGGCCCATGTTGGTTGTTTCTAATTAATGGCCAATCACAGTCAGCTGGCTTGGACAGAGAGCCTGAGCCACAAGCCTTTGTTATCATTCCTTATTATTCTATTCTTAGTTAACCTTCTGATGAAATCCTTTCTTCTATTCTTTTAGTATAGTTTTAATATAATATATATCATAAAATAATAAATCAAGCCTTCTGAAACATGGAGTCAAATCCTCTCTTACCTCATCCTGAGACCCCTGTGAATACCATCACAATGGCTGTATCAGGAGCTGGACCCTATTTTTCCCTGATTTAGACTGATAACTCCACTGTGTGTCTTCCCACAGAGCCTTTGATCATTAGGTAAAAAATGGAGAAGCTGTGGAAAGGCAGGAAATGGCTCCTACTTTTCCCTGTAGTTTTATAAGGCCCAAATCGTGCCAGGGTGCTTATGAGAGACACCACAGCAGGGGCCACCCTGCCCCTGAGACCTCCTGGCACATGCTTCAACCCACCTGGGTGGCAGTGCAGAGGGGACAGCAGGAAAGCAGCTGGGTTAAACCATCCTCATGCTTCAGCCCTTCTCCAAAGTCCCACACTGCTTGCCCTAGATTAAAGCATCTCTTCACAGTGGTTTGCTGTGGCAGGGCAGGATGGGGGAGATTTCCAGAAGGGATTTACAGGCTGTAATCCGTGGCCATACTCCCCCCACCACCCACTGCATTTCATCTAGGAGGGACTTAAACCCCACGTCCAGCTGCAGCAATTTGTACCTGATCTAGCAGGCCTGGCTTCATGTATGGCAAGATAATCCCTGTTTTTGCAAGGGTATCCCTGCCCCCAAAACACCCCACCTCCCCAAAACTGAAAGTTTTGGAGAGCTGGGGGCTTTTGAAAGAACCTGCAGCTGCCTTTGTGCTGCTCCTGGAGCTGACCCCTGTGTCCCTGACATTCGTCCCTGTAGAATAAAGGCAGTGGTTTATAGATGAAAATTCCTGAGGGTGGGGAACAGAGGAAGGCTATAGAAAGGCTTTAAAGCAACAGATCGTGCTCATTAGTGTCCCTGTCCATTTAGCTAGTGATAAAAGCTGTCGAATGCAGCATTTGTGTGAATTTAGCACATACCTAGTGGAGGAGGGGTTTCAGGACACAAGGGATTTCCCTCGGATTATCCTTTTAATTTTATTTTTGAAAGAAAACACTAAATGCATTTTAAATCTGGGGAGGGGGGCGTGGGGGGTGTTTTTGAATGGCTTCCCACAGTGCACATGGATGGAGATGCTGGGGTTGCCAGGTGGGACTCCCCAGTCACTGCTGGCCAGGGGTTCAGCCAACTCCTCTCTGGCCCCCGGCACTACAAGGAAGATTAAGGTTATGGAATCACTTGTTGGTGCAAAAGTGCCCCCACGTGGAAGCTGCAAATAAAGTCTCCAGCGTCTCAATCGAATTAACTCACCCATTACTCATAGTCTGCTTGTTCTGTATTCCCTAGTTTGAAGTGCTACATGAAAAAATATAAAATTCTTCTTTTCACGCCACTTTTCTTTGGCAGTGACCATTTTAGGATGGTCTAACGCATACGATGTTATGGGAAAGCTGCTTGGCACGGCTTGGATTAAGTTCTTCTCCCTGGCCTGGGTACATTTGCATTGCAGCTCAGACTTGTCAGTTCAAGGTGGTTTGTGAAAGGAAGTTAGGAAGGAAAGCATGGAAAAGTGGGGAAATGTATGGAAATGGGGGAAAAAAAATGGAATTGCAAAGGGAAATCCCTGCATCGTGTATCAAGATGTAGGAGTTAACTGTTGCATGCCTGAAGGGCACTGCAGGTGAGGAGCAGCAGCACATGCTGGTACAGTAATGCTGGTTTACATCTTGTTTCACCTTGGAACCAAATCTTTCAGGCAGATTGTCTGATAATTTCTGTGTGGTCCTCATCGAGCCACTGCTTTGCAAAAATCTCGTGCACAATCTGTACCATCCTGAGGGCATAATCCCCTAAAGCTGAACGAGCAAAGGCGTTTATCCATGTCATTAGATGATGGCTGTTTCCTAAGCCTGTGGGGAAACAGCCATGGCATGGAAGCAGGCAGTCTCTCATGGAAGATGCCAGATAGTGGGAAATGCAGTTCTTCTGTGTAATGGAGGGGTACCAATGTTTGGGAGGCTCTGCAAAGCTGCACTCAGTCCCTAGAGCTGATGGAGGCTGCTTCCTGCTGGGGTTCCCTGGCTGCACAGTGCCCTCCAACTTCACACCCACTTCCCTCATCTTAATCCTCAAGCCAGAAATGCCCATCACACTGTGTTCAGCTTAGAGAGGATAAATCCTCTCTTCTGATATTTTAAGCTCAGATTCAGGGGCTGGGTCATTTTTGCTTGCAGTGCTTTGAGCTGATGTTCTGGTATCTGAGGCTGCAGGGAGCAGCCCCTTCTCTATGGTCCAGCAGTTTCTCTCTTCACAAAGAATTTTGACAGGTCTCTCTAGTGCAGAACAATTGTATCTGCCCTCATTAATTATTTTGTGCAGGCCTGCAATGTCCTGCAATCAGCAGGGTCACTGACTGAATTGATGATAGGGAAGTTATAATGCTGAGCATACAGGACAATTGCCATCTGCTGTCTAAGGTCTGTAATTTAATTAGATTGCCAAACATTCCTTTTCAGATGAAAATGCAGGAAGCCCAGGGAACAGGGCTCGACTGGTTTGGCATCTCAGTGTGATCTTCCTCCACCCCCCACCCTTCCCAGCCCCTGCAGATTTACCTGAGCTGCCCTGAAATGATCCTGCTGCAGCACAGGACTGACACAAATGTCCCCTTCAAGCACAAAGCCACCATCTCTACTGCAAATTCTTACACCTGCATGTCAGCTGCCTGCTCTGACCCTGACAGGGTGTCTGTGTGGCCTCACCCCCTTCCCTGCTTGCTTCCAACCCTCTGAATTCTCCAGAGAAGATCAATCCAGCAATTACAGCTGAAAGCTGATGGATGACTATGGCAAAAGTCTGTTGAAGCATGGAGTCAGGGTGGGGAGAGTCTCACCAGCATCTGCTGATTTCCAGAAAGATCTGATTTTGTAGATAGGAGCAAACATCCTTACCAGGATAAAGAGTAATATACTCCCTTAACCTGCCTTGGTTTTGTTCTTGGGAATGAGAAGGGCCCAGAAGATGGGGGTCCAGAGCTGGTGCTTGGAGCAAGAAATGATGCCTTATATACATTATAAAGCATTATATACAGCTTGCTCTAACTAAAAGAGCCCCTTCAGACCAGGTTTTACTTTGAGATAATTCACTGTGGAGTCTGGCTGACTCTGTGCTGGTCAGCTCAGGGCTGCTTGGTTGTGTTTTGGGGACAAGGGCAGTGAGGAGCAGCCAAGTTTGCAGCACTGGCCATGCTGGGACTCTGGGGAAGAGAGGAAGAGAGGAGCTGATTTACTGGGAGCTGCTGAGCCTATAGACAATGTGTGTGCTGCAGTGTGATTTAGATACATGCCATGATAAACCCTTCCCTTACTTCTTGCCTTGTCCATAGGGACTTCAAGAGTAAAAATGTCTTGCTGAAGAATGACCTGACAGCTGTGCTAGCTGATTTTGGACTGGCCGTACGGTTTGAACCTGGAAAACCTCCAGGGGACACTCATGGACAGGTAATCATTACCTTTAACTTTTTTAAAAGTTGGCCTTGCCATAGCTTCTCTGGAGTGGGGGATAGTTTGTGTAGATGCATTTAATTCTCTTTGAGATATGTATTTTTTTCCATAAAAACTTGTGCTTAGACATAAATTCTGGGAGCTGCTTTAATCTGGGTAAGTGGGGAGGGTCCTCAAACTTTCTGATTGCTGTGCAGGTGAGGTCCCTGCAGCTCTGGGGTCAAGTGGCTTCCTCCTTCAGACACAAGGCTCATTGTCTCTTTATTGTTTTGGTATAAATACCCATAGAATCACAGAATACCATGTTGGGAGGGACTCAAGGATCATCAAAGTCCAACCTTTCTGGACCAAAGCAAGGCAAGACAGCCCAGATGAATCTTAGAAGTGTTTAGTTCTGGAGTCTGCTGCACACAGCACTTCTCTAGGTCATTACATAAATAATAAAGCTCCGAAATATTAATACTGATACCACAAATCTAGTATTAATAGTCCTAAAATTATTGATTTAATTTTAAGAATTCAGCCAGGCTGGCTGCTTGGGTGACCTTTGGCCCAGCTGGCTGTGCACTGTGTAAACAATATATTACAATTTTATGGGTTCTTAATTTTCTGCCTTTGTGTTGCAGCAAGCAGCCCCTCATTCTGCTCCCATGTCAGGACAGCAAGGCCATCATCACCTCCTTGTGCCTCCAGTGCTTTCTGAATTCCCATCTCCAGTGTAGTCTCCTTTTTTTTACCTTTATCTCAGAAGGAATGAACACTCTCCTTAGTTAGCCTTACTCAGCTTTCCTCATTTTTGTCACCCTTTTTATGACTTTTCCAATATTTTGCACATCTTAACGTATCCTGGCTTCACTCTGATCCCACTGCCTCAGCTAACAGTAAGAGGTGAGAATTTCCTTAAAGGAAATTATTAAAAGTGTTTCAATTCTCAAGAAAGCTGTTTTTTCTCTTTGTTATCCTGTCTACTCTCCTACATGATAAACTATACTAAACATAACAATGGAGGCACTATAATGCCTATTCCCTCAAAAAAGAACAGATCTTTTCCAAACCAAGCCAGGGTTCATGTTTTACTACTTCTGTGGATGCAGGAGACTTGTTTTATCTAGGGCTGTCAAAACTACACCTTTTCCTACCATTTCAGGATATATAATTTTTTCTCTTTTCCCTTTTTTTTTTTGATTGCGTTTTTCAAGGGGTTGTTTGTTTGAGTTTGGAGTTTTTTGTTGAGGGAGTTTTTTTGAGTGAAAGAGGACTGAACTTTTCCAGCCAGACTTGACCTCAGGGTGTTCTGTGTGTCTCCAAAGACAGCATTTTCTCATGCAGGGTGTTCTGCCAGAGCAACATGCAGCGGGATGCAGACCTGCAGTGTGCACTGAATGGGTATCACACATGTAGCCTTGCACTTTGGCTTCCTCCTTTATGTTGCTTATCTGGACTGGAGTGATCTTAATGAGAATCAGTGTCAGAAGAAACAGCTCCCCTTTGCTTGTTTTTCAAGCAAGGTGCACCTTTAGCAGCAGTGGCCTCCAGGCTAATGAAACCAGCTGTCACTCACCTCCACCCAGCAGAGGCTGAGGGGCCCAAATGCACTGTGGCTTGAGCTGTGTTTTTTCTCTCTAGGTGGGAACAAGGAGGTACATGGCTCCTGAAGTGCTGGAGGGAGCAATCAACTTCCAACGAGACGCCTTCCTGAGAATAGACATGTATGCAATGGGACTGGTGTTGTGGGAGCTAGTCTCCAGATGTAGAGCAGTTGATGGTAAGAATAAAGACTTATTCCCTAGGGAGGGTTCTGTTTCAATGTGGTTTAGTTGGCCAGAGAATGGATCTATTTCTGTTAAAAAAAAAAAAAAAAATCAATGGCATATTTTTATTAAAAGCAGCCAACCTGTTTTTTCCTTTGTTTTTTAACGTAAGGTGTTAGTCTCTGTATATTATAACCTTTGTAAGTGCTCCAACCTCAAGGTACTTTTTAGTATGTTGCTTTACCTTGCTGAAAATTCAGAAGGAGAAGGTGATCCCTACAGGATGGGTGTCCTTTACTCCTGAGCCTGCCCTGTGCTGCTCTCAGTGGCACTGGACATTTCTGCCTGTGACCAGGGCATGCCCTGGGCTCCTGAGAAGAGCCACACAGCCAGCTTGGCTGTCACCTGGCTTATGCAGGGCAGTGGGGTAGCCTGAATGGAAAGCTATAGCAGGAACACAGGGCTGGAAGGACCTTCCTGGGTCAGCAAGCCCATTTCCCTGCTATCAAAAGTCATTAGTTATTGATCTTTTGCTGATCAAGCCCTCTCTCAGCAGTGGGCCAGGTTTGTTGCTTCATTTACAGCTTTGGAGGATCTCACTTTCTCCTGAAGGATCTAAAAGTATGAACTTCATGGTGTCTCCTTTCTCCTTTTTTTAAATATTAAAATGATGCTGTGAAGTGTCCAATCAGCACATCTGTCCAATCAGCACATCTGTCCTTTGGTGACCCTTGCCATGTCCAGGACAGGGAAGCAGTCACATCATTGTAGTAGCTCCAAGGCTGCTTCCTCCAACTTTTTTCTTCTTGTATAAATATGGGTGCTCTGAACTGAAAATCAAGTTCATAAAACAACAGCATCTCACCTAGACTTGAAGTGTTTTTGTTAACATTACAGTAGGACTGAGGAGTGTGGTTATAATTAAAATGCCTTCCATGAGTGTGTGATAATAGAATGTCTCATCTTCAGAAATGTTCAGTCTAAAGAGATAAAATGCTGGAGGATCAGAGATCTGGGAGCACAGTAAGGTAAAACAGTGGTACACAAATCATTCATACAAGAATTGCCCTTCTCTGTTGAGGTGCCCCAAATATCCACTTCAAATTTTTCTATCATGTTTGTGATCTCCTGCCAGTCCAGATACCCCAGGTGCCACACACAGCACCACTGAGTCAGGGGGAAGGCTTCCTTTGGGATGATGGGGAGTTACACTGAGCCTCATCTGCACTTCAGCTCAGAAGTGATGCTGTGTCAACAGCACATTTAGCTTGCAGATCACCAGTGCAGCTCTCCACAGCCTGGGTTCCTCTTGGAGGAAAAGCAAAGTCATAAGTGACCCTGATTGGAGCAAGTGTTTCAGTTTGGTTTAGTGGCTGCCACTGAGTAAACAAGAATAATGATAAGCCACTTAAGTGATTTCATTCTTTAGAGTAAACATTGTGCTGTTGGTGTTACAATTCATGAGCAGATGAAGTGGTCAACTCTTTTATTTTAGTCTGGAAAGACCCTTTTGAGGTATCTCTGCTCTAAAAAGAGGTAATTTTTTGCTACTGAGAAACCATAAGTGGTGCCATGGAGCACCCTGAGAAGCCCAACAGTTAAGCTGGGCTGCTTTTTCTGAGAGAGCATCTACACATTGCCAAAAGCCAAATGATGTTTCAATAAGCAGAAGTTGCTGCTATCATCCAGCATCTCCACTGATACTCATAACAGTTGTCTCATTCCCATGGCCCTGGGCAGTGTGCAGCCATAACTGGTATAAGTGAAGCATTCAGAAATCATTTTACACTTAGGAGCCAGTACTTGGGACAAGTGCATCTGGCTCCAGTGTGTCAGGGCTGGCTCAAACCTATGAACAAACCAGATCACAAAGCAAGAAATTATGTGTTGTATATACTTGACCTTGTTAGTCAGTGCTAAAATGAAATTATGCTCATGCTGAAATCTTTCTCTAGGTTATTGTGTGTTGAATTGTTGTGTTAAAATGTGGGGAGGATGAGTTGATCTGCTCTTTATATTAAATAAATCACGGATTACCTGGCAAACTTCCTCAAGGAAAGGGTGAGATCTGGAGGCCTGGCTGAGGCTTTGGATTTGTAACTCAGTGAGGTGGAAAATGCACGGCCAGACAAGCAGCAGGGACAGCAGAAACCATTGTGCAGGAGGAATGTAAATCACATTTGTCTGCAGTGACATGTGAACGTCAGCCTTTGTTGCAGTGGGTTGAGGTTGCTCCAGAGCTGCAGCTCACTCATGCATGGGGACACTGTGGCTCTGCAGAGGCTGTTCCTGCCCTAACCTGATTCTCTGTGTGCACTGTAGGTCCAGTGGATGAATACATGCTGCCTTTTGAAGAAGAAATAGGTCAGCACCCATCCCTGGAGGACCTGCAAGAAGTGGTGGTTCACAAGAAGATGCGCCCCGTGTTCAAGGATCACTGGCTAAAACATCCCGTATGTCCCTCCTGGTTAACAGTGGAAAATATTTTCCGGTGTGATGGGAATGAGGGATTGGTTATGCATTCCCAGTGTTAGCCAGAGTCAGCTCTGGGGAATGAGGGGTTGCTCAACACCTTTGTGCTCCCTTTTCTTTTTATCTCTTGTTTTTAGAGACTAAACAAGCTGAATAATCAGCTAGTGCTGAATGTGGAGCGTGTGGTGCTTTAGTAGGGCTCCTTTAGTATGGTGAAAGAATGGAAAATAAAATCCTTTCATTAAGAAAAAGAAAACCATCCATACCATTGGAGACAGACTCCTCATAAGCTAGATACCATGCAAGACTTGGAGCAGTTTATGGAGGAAAAATTAATTAGATGTGAAAACAAGCAGACAATGAAGCAAAATGCAGTGTGGGTTTCCCAGAGGTAGTTCATTTCAGGCTCACGTTTTTAATAAAAGAGTTGATTTTCCTTAGATCAGGAAGATAAGAGATGATGACATCTCACTGGGCTTCAGTAAGAAGTCAAATACCTCTATTTTGCCCAAACTGTTACAGATTTTGCTAGACTCAGGTGTACTAACTCATTTCCCAGAAGTTAGGGAGGGAGCTGTGGATTGTAAAAAAAAAGTGTTCCACTTCAAATGAGGGTTCAAATAAGAGCTGTGTTATTCAGGCACTGTTGAATTCAGGTTTTTTGGGGATATGGAGAGAAGTGATTGCAAACAAAGCAAATGGTTTCATAGTAACTGATACAGTGCTGCCAGCTCTCACAGTTTCATCATGGGAATCTTAATACTTCTTGTCTTTTAAAGCTTCAACTGCTGAATCTTGGGATTTATTTTGATATTAAAAAAAGCACTTTTGGGGCGGAATGCGACCAAGCCTTAGAAAGCAGATGCTTAAAAAGAACCATGAAAACACATATTTAAAGTAATTTTTGAAGCTTATCTCATGGTAATTGGCATACTGTAGAAAAAATTCTTGTAGGGGTTTTTTAGAGCATTGGCTGTGTTGAGTGGATCTCTCCACCCACTGACAAGGTGGTGCCCATGATGTCTTAAAGATATAGAAATAAAACAACACACTTTAGAGACAATATTAGCATAGGAGGTAATATAAAAACTGGTCTTTGATTGGAGGCCTCCAGGGGCAGATGTGGAAAACTGCCCACCCCACATAGGGCAAATACAGCTTTTTAAGTTTAGTTGATTAGTATAATTAACAAGAATCTCCAATTAGAAACACAGGTGATGAGGTAATTCCCCCTCTTAGTCCAACCTCTTCTGGAGCCCCTCATTGGTAACAGCTGTACTCTGTTTATTGGAAAGTGGCCTGGGAGGGTAGCCTTGTGTTCCCAAGAAAACACAAGGTATGACAGGAGCCTTTGGAATGTGTTTTGTCTTTCTTCCTGTCAGGGTAGGAAAAGTGCTGGAGCTAGCTAGGAGCTATATAATTATACAGCAATAGTCTGCAGAACTATGAACATGGGTGAAGGAAATACAAAAGCAAAAATCACTTTGGCATCCTGAAGGTTGTGAGTTTGATCCTCACACAGGGCACCACTAATGTTGATATTTTTGGTTTTTTCTTTTGTTAAGGTTGGGATTAAATTGTGAGATGGTATTTTTTATTTGGATTTAGATGTTTATTACTTTTTATTTATATTATAGCTTTATCAGTTGTGAGTTTTATAGTATTTCACTAATACGGTAAAAATTTTACTAAGAAGGTAAAAAATGGAGTTGTATTGCTTTTTTTATTAGGTTTTTTAAGGATAAACTGTTTAATTAAGAAATTATGCTTAAATTATTTCTATCTTTCCCTTAATAACTAACTACTTGTGTTTTGTAATGTGGATTTTTTAAAATTTAATTTCACAATATTACTTAAACTTATGAAGAAGAAGGTGAAGAAGGTAAAGAAGACAGACTAGATTCTGTTTTGAAACTTCTATTTTGTTTTATACTATAAACAAACGTCACTCTCTCCACCTATATCCCCAAAAACTTCTATTTTGCTTTGTATTATTATATTTTAAAGCTTTAAACTTTTTATTACGTGATGTTACACATTTTTATTTAAACTATACACATACAATCTTAATTCTATCATTTAATATTGGATGGTTTTTCTATAGCTGTAGGTTAAATGCAGTCTTTTATTAGGGGGTTAGCAGTTGTTAGTACAGAAAGTTTAAAATTTTCACTGACTAGGGTTCTAGCAGCCTCCCCCAGGGCAGGTGACATTGCTGGAGTACTAAAAGTACTAAAATCTCCCAGGAGGAGGTATTTTGCAATGCTGCTGGCCTTCCAATGGAATAACTATGATGCAAAAACCAATCTCGTAGTGGGTGAGGATTGAGGGAGGTGGTTACTGCAAACTAAGTAACATTTTTGGCCTCAACTCTATGCCATAAGCCTGCACAATGCCATTGTCAATCTGTTCAAACTATCTGCTTATGAATTCTGCATGATCCTCATGGTAGAGTTGAAAGCCTGATCCTTCACCTGTTAATATTTTCACATTCGTCCTTGAGTTTGACAAATTTTGTACTGTAAAGTTGACTTAAGTACAGTTTGATGTCAATTCTTGTGGAAAGAGCTTTCTGCATGTAACATTGCCACTGTCAATCTGTCCCAACTATCTGCTTAGGAATTCTGCATGATGCTCATGGTATGGCAGGTGACATTGCTTATGAATTCTGCATGATTGTCACGATAGGGAAGGTGACATTGCTTATGAATTCTGCATGATTGTCACAATAGGACAGGTGACATTGCTTATGAATTCTGCGTGATGCTCACGATAGGGCAGGTGACATTGCTCATGAATTCTGCGTGATTGTCACGATAGGGCAGGTGACATTGCTTATGAATTCTGCATGATTGTCACGATAGGGAAGGTGACATTGCTCATGAATTCTGCGTGATTGTCACGATAGGGCAGGTGACATTGCTCATGAATTCTGCGTGATTGTCACGATAGGGCAGGTGACATTGCTCATGAATTCTGCGTGATTGTCACAATAGGACAGGTGACATTGCTCATGAATTCTGCGTGATTGTCACGATAGGGCAGGTGACATTGCTTATGAATTCTGCATGATTGTCACGATAGGGAAGGTGACATTGCTTATGAATTCTGCATGATTGTCACGATAGGGAAGGTGACATTGCTTATGAATTCTGCATGATTGTCACGATAGGGAAGGTGACATTGCTTATGAATTCTGCATGATTGTCACATAGGGAAGGTGACATTGCTTATGAATTCTGCCTGATGCTCACGATAGGGAAGTGACATTGCTTACGAATTCTGCAAGATCCTCACGATAGGGCAGGTGACATTGCTCATGAATTCTACATGATCCTTACAATAGGGCAGGTGATGTTGTTTGTGAATTCTACATGATCCTCATGATAGGGCAGGTGGCAATGCTCATGAATTCTGCCTGATGCTCACGATAGGGCAGGTGACATTGCTTATGAATTCTACATGATCCTTACAATAGGGCAGGTGATGTTGTTTGTGAATTCTACATGATCCTCATGATAGGGCAGGTGATGTTGCTTATGAGTTCTACATGATCCTTACAATAGGGCAGGTGGCATTGCTCATGAATTCTGCATGATGCTCACGATAGGGCAGGTGACATTGCTTATGAATTCTGCGCGATGCTCATGGTAAGGCAGGTGACTGAAGGTGTTTTCTGGCCGTTGTGTCCGCAGGGCCTGGCGCAGCTCTGCGTGACCATCGAAGAGTGCTGGGACCACGACGCGGAGGCGCGGCTCTCGGCCGGCTGCGTCGAGGAGCGCATCGCGCAGATCCGCAAATCCGTCAACGGCACTACCTCGGACTGCCTCGTCTCCATCGTGACGTCCGTCACCAACGTGGACTTGCCACCCAAAGAGTCTAGTATCTGAGTGCTGGGTCCTGGTTCACTTTTGTCTTTCCAGACTCAGCGGATTTAAAAACAAACAAACAAACAAACAAACAAAAACAACAAGGAAAAGAGTTTAAAGAAAAAAAAAAGTACAAAAAAAACAAAATCACAAAAATTCAACAAACCCATGAATGCAGCTGCTATTTTATCTTGACTTTTTATTATTATTGTTATTATTATTATTATTATTTTTTTGGATTGGATCAATTTTACCAGCACATTGCTCTACTGTATTAAAAAAAATGGACATTTCAGCAAGCATTCAGGTGCCGACTAATGAATGCAGAAAAGGTGCAGGTACCTCAGAACCTCAACAAACTCACTTCAGTTGTTTTTATTTTATTCAGTTTTCTGGGTTTCTCTTTATCAGTTTGTCTTCTGAGCGGAGCATCTGTGACATAAGGAAAACCACCTACCACCTTCGAAAACGCAATGCTGCAAACTGTGGAGGAAACTTAAGACTGTTATGTAAAGAATACACCTTCCTCAAAAGCATTTTTTCCCCATGTTGGTTTTGGGTTCAGTTCCTTTTTTATTTTTTTAAATTTTTTTTTTTGGAAGTGAGCTTCAGAAAAAAACAGCAGATGTGTCTTTTACGGATGTAACGGGTGTCATTGTAACATGGGAAAAAAAAAGTAACTAGGCAGAGAATGTTAATTCTTGATGGTATAATTGAAGGGGGGAGCGTAGAATAGGGGTGGGGAGAGTGACGTTGGACTTGGCAGCATTTGGGGAAACATCATTTGCTATGGAGCTACTTCTCAGGTAACCATTAGAGGAGGGGAAGGACATTTCTGGGCAGAGTATTTACGGCTGCAGCGTGTGGAGAAAGCGGAGTTAAAGAGGCAGTGGTTGGAAGACAGGCACTTGTTTCTTCCTCCAGAGTCTGGGGTTGGGTGGTAAAAGAACAAAACAGGACTATAACATTTATTTTTCAATTCCAGGTAGTAGTAGGAAGGATGCTTTCAATGTCATCAGGACAGGTGGGGAAGTGTGATTTCAGAAGCACTTTGGTAAAATACTGGAAGATGAGAAAATTTTTGCATCTCGTTTTAAGTGTGAGTCAGCTGAGAGAATTTGGCCTTGGGTTGATTATCTTTCAGCCCAAGCTAATGGTGCAGATGGTGGAAAGAGGAAAAGGGTGAAAGCTGGTTATATAAATTTTTTTTCTTTATTAATTTGGGACTGGGGGAGTGAATGGTGGCAGCTGGCTCCTGTAGCATCTGAGAAGCCTTGAAAGCTGCCTGGCTGCAGGGAGCTGAGGCAGCTCAGCAGCAGCAGTGATTCCCACAGCACCTCTCCCACTGGTTTCTTTGACGCTGCTTTCTCCTTACTCTGTGATGAAACTCTTTTGTCTTAAAGTGGTGCATATTTGAAAATACCGTTACTCTTATTATGCCATAAACTCGCTCTAGTCAGTGAATGTTCCTAATGCTGCTGATTCAACATTGAAATATTTTTTTAATTTGCAAAACATGCAATGTTTAAAAAAAGAAAAAACTTAAAAAAAAAAACCAAACACAAAACATACACACACACGTTACGTGGCTTCCGAGGTTTAAACTGAAAAAAAATTAAAAACTTCATGACCACAGACCACCTCAAACCAGAAATACCTCAGAATTTTCTACTTGTATGAGTTTTATTATATATTTTGTTAGTTGTGTTGTCTTGTAGTAAGTATATTTTAATGTAAGTTGGCTTTTATGACAAGGGAGTTTTAAAAAAATTAAAAAAAGAAAAAAAGTTCCAAAATCTTTTAGGAAGTGCTACCATTTTTTTGTTGTTTTGTTTAATAAAGCACCATTGTAAATAACTGTATACAGTTGTGGAATAACTGCCTATATAAGGTACCTGGGCATTATTCACTCTTATTTGTGAAGGCTGTTTCCATTCTGTGTTGTTGTTTTTTTTTTTGGATTTTTTTTTTTGGTCTGTTTTAGTGAAAGGACAGTACATCTTTTTTTTTTCTTTTCTTTTTCTTTTCTTTTTAATTTTTTTCTTTTTTTTACTTTGAATATAACATGATTTTTTATGTCTTGCTAGACTGACAAAGTTATGTCCATTGGATGGCCAGATCTTCTAAATTTTTCTTTGTGTTAAGCCAAAATGCAGTCCTAAACTAATCACCCTGTAATGGAAATGTAAAAAGTCTGTATTATATATAAATGAATTGGATTTCTCTCCACTGCCAAATTATCAGTGTGCACCCTTGCACAGATATAATTTATTAAGCAAAAGAAACTGCTAATTGGAGAAAGTATTAAAAGAAAAAAAATTGAAATATATTTCTTGAAAAGTATAGCTTTAAAACCTAGAGGTCACAAATGAGGACATGGTCCTTTATCTTGAAGAGACATTAAGAGAATTGCCTTAATTTGTCTATCTGAATAAAGTCTTAACCTATTCTTTCAAGTTACTGAATGTATATTGCATATTAGTATGTACACACATGTAACTGTGTTTCCGTGTGTAGGTTTGGAAGTTTCTGTTTCTTGATGTGCTTCTGTTGAGGAAACCTTGACAAAACCAGACAGAACGATACCATTTAGACCCAGCCAATGTCCCCGGTGGCCATTGGCACCTTTGGGCCTGATGCTGCAACATACCTATGCTTAGCATTGAGGGTGTAGGTAGCTCTTCTGGTGTCATGACATTAGGCACTCACTTAATGTTAAGTGTGGTTGTAAATGTTTGCAGGATCGGTATTTTTCATGTTTAATACATTTCTGCACTGAGATTTATATGAAAATGTGACTATGTCTTAGAAGTGAAGTGATGTAAGGGTTGGGGTGGAGCGTAGAGCAGTTAATGAGTGAATACTTGTTTTGAGGTGGGCTTGCTCCCTTTCCCCAGGGAATGGGAGCCAGTTCCTATTGCTGCAGAAAGAAAAAAAGCTGTACTGTCTTTTAACTGTTAATATCTGTTTGCTCTTCTGGATTTTTTCCTTCAGCATTACATATTATAGCTAAAACAGGCTCATTACAGCAGTTGCTTTTTTATCCTGATTTCTTTAAAAAGCTTTAAAGTATTTATTGAAAGTGCCATATTATTTTAATAGCCTATTAAACAGTGTCTGAAATCTTCTCTTTTGAGAAAGCATGAACACAAATTCTCACATGTAGCTTATCTTACTGCGGGGAACTGCACGACCCTGTACAAACCTTGACCGAATGTTGATTGTAAAGTATTACATCTTCCTGGTGCAATGGTTCCTTATAGATCATCTTGTCAGCAGGATTCAGAAACTGATTGGAAAAAGAATTTCCAAATTGGGTGTGTGCTGGATAACAAGTTTTATATGTGTGTAGGTACGTGTGTCTTGCTATTGCAGCATAGAAGGAAATCCTGAACTTTTAATGTGTACCAATTTGGATAAAGCTGGTTTTTAAACTGGTATTTATTTATTTTATTAACAAAGACAAGCTCTGATGAACTCGTTGGTCTTTCAACAGTTGAGCTGTCAAGCAAGTAGTTTCCTCACCTCTAATTCATTTGAACTCTCATTGACAACATGATTTTGGTTCTGCTTGGTACTGTAGAGGCTTTTTCCAAGTCAGGAATTGGGCACATCCATAGGTGTAGCTGTCATAAGCAACTGCAGCTCTTTTCCTTTCAACACTCCCTTGAATAAAATGGTGACAGCACCTCTTACGTTACTTCCCAAGTGCTGAATGTCACTTCCCATTCAGACTTAGAGGAAGCAGGCCTTCAAAAATTTGGCTGCAGAATTTTATTGGTCGTCTCCCTCCCTCATATGGAAGTTCTTAGGTGAATATTACCACTAAATATCCTGAGTAAAAATTCTCCTTGCCTTTAGGAGCCAGGATTCCCCATCTCTCTGGTGGAACTCCCTTTTAGGAATTGCTGGCTGGACTGGTTTCCTAGGTGCAGAAAATTTGACTTCACATTTTTAAACTGGAAATATCACAAGAACTAAAACTGGGGTGTTTTTTTGAGATGGTAGAGCTGTGACTTGCTGATGAAGTTGCATTAATTTGGAAGGCTGGAAGTTGTATATGGAAATATTGAAATACACATGCATTTCATAAGAATGGCTATAAACCAGTCTAACCATCAGTTAAGTAGTACCAGGCCTATTCATTATAATTAAGGATTTTAGCCAGTTCTGATCATTAAGAAATCTCTATTTAAGACAAAAGTAACCCATTTTTTATTCTGCTGAAATTCTCCTGCAGAATATCTTTATGTGCTAGACAGTTACACCTATGGAAGTGCAGAGGTCTTGGTTTTGAAGAGAAGGTCTGTGAGTGCCCCCCAGTAACTCCCCTGTGTTTTCCTTGGGTCTCCTGACTCCCTGCTGTTCCCACTTGAAGTCAGTGGTTTCAGTGGAAGCAGACATTTCCAGGCTGGCTGGGTCTGGCCTGGCTGTTAGGAATCCTGATCCCCCTCAACATTGCAGCACTGAAACGTTTTATTCCTCTTGCACGACTTTCTAGGCAGAGTGTCAGAGCTTGCCCTGTTTTGCAGGGAAAAGGTCTGGTTTCACTTAGCATGGAAGGAACTCACTGCAGAGAAAGGTGCTGGGTGATAAGATGTGACAGTGCTGGTGTTGCAGTCCTCTTCAAGACACACTCCGCTTGGGAAGTTGCTAAGCAGGAAGTGTCCCACAAACTTTTGTCACTTTTACATTCAGGATATTGTTTGGTAACATTGTAAATAAAATAGACTATATAATAGAGGAAAATAAGGACATTTTGACTTTTTTACTTTTGGAAATATATATATATATTTTAGTTACATATACAAGCAAAAATTCTACATTGTGTGATAATTCTTTTATACCACAAATTATTTTTGTAATGTCTAATATGTTTCTGCAGGGAAAAGGGAGAAAGGTCTGTGTATGCACAGCAAATAAATAAAGAAATATATATATAATGTTTAAATTAAGTGTGCACTACATCAAAGTCTAGAGGATAGAAGAAGTGTAGCCTGAAAACAGGTTGAGGAGCAAGTTTGGATGTACTTGGACATGCTTTGAGGACAGCACTGAGTATATGTTTAGGTTATCTTGCAT